AGAACTGTTCCCACACGGTTTTGAAGGCTATGATCTTTCGGAAGCAGATCATCAGGCCTGTCTTCCGAGGCACCTCTGGGTGGGTTCGAACAGCCAACTTTTCAGCTAGTAGTCAAGTGCTTAACTATCTGTGCCACTTAGCCACCAGATATATACATCTAGGCATATATACATAAAATCTGGAAAGACACACAAAAAATTGGTAAAAAATAGTTGTTTCTAAGGAAAACTACAGGATGGGAATCAGAAACGAAAGAGGATTTCTTCACTTTTAAATTTTTCAACATTTGCGTATTACTATGATAAAAATGTTTAAAATAAAAAACTTTAAAACTGCTTTTAGATTTACGTTATGCATGTGAGAATTTTAAATGTGGGTCAAAGCTGATATTTCTACAAAGTCCTTAAAACTGTTATGTTTTACTACAGCACCTGGCACAGTGCCTTGCCCATAATAGATACTCAAATGTCTGCTGACTTGAATTGCTACGGGATCAATCCCACTGAGGAATCTGCAAATATAAAAAGGAGAACATAAACTTAACACGTTTGAACTCTCTCTTCACAATCAAGGTTTGTCAGATAATTGCTTAACTCTGTTTTCTACATTCTCCATAATATTTGAGCACTGTCCTAACTATCAGAAAGGTAAGTTCACTTCACATCAGTTTTCTTTGGGTTTTCCATATGCCCACATTGCTTTAAGGCCACCAGTACTTGTCTGAAACCACTAACAAGTCTTGTCCTCAGTTTGCTACTTTATTTCCCTAGAACGGAAACTCCATTTGGGCAGAAACATTTATCATATCTCCAGCACATACAAAAAAGCCAAACACATGTGTAAGCATTCAATAAACATTTTTTAAATAAATAAATGGAGAAAAAGAGGTGTTCCATAAATGCCAAGGTTACCAATAACTTCTACATTACTAAATCAAATGATTAATTCTCAGACTTCATCTTAATAGTAGTATTCAACACTGTTGATCAATCTCTACTTGAAACATTTTTCTCATTTGGCTTCAGGGCACCAATTCATCTGGTTTTCTTCCTACCTCTCTGGCTGCTCCTACTGAGTCTCCTTTGGGGGCCCCTCCTCATCTCCGTGTCCTCTAAACTCTAAGTTCTTCAACTCCTTCTCACTTCAATCTCTACTCCCTTGGTGATCTCATCCAGTCTCATGGCTTTAATCTAATGTATACCTCCAGCAGGTCCTCTCTTGTGAATTCCAGATTCATAAACCCAACTGCCTACTCAATATCTCTATTATCTAATGGGCATCTCAAATTTATATCCAAAACTGAGGTCTTTTCTTCCCCTCCAAACTTGTTCTTCCTTCAGTCTTCCCCATCTCAATAAATGGCCACCGCATCCTTCCAGGAACTCAGAGCAAAAACCTTAGCACTGTCTTTAACTCATTTCTTCCTTGCAGAGCACACATCCACTCTATCAGCAAAATTTATTGACTCTACTTGAAAAATATATCCAGAATCAGACCATGCCTCACACCATATTCACTGCCACACCCAACATGGTCCAAAAAATCATCTTTTCTCACTTGGATTACTGTAATAGCTTCTGTCTTAGTCATCTAGTGCTGCTATAACAGAAATACCACAAGTAGATGGCTTTAACAATGAGAAATTCATTTCTTCACAATAAAGTAGGCTAAAAGTCCAAATTCAGGGCATCAGCTCCAGGGGAAGGCTTTCTCTGTCAGCCTTCTCATCAATGTTCCCTGGGACTAGGAGCTTCTCCGCACAGGAACCCTAGGTCCAAAGGACAAGCTCTGCTCCTGACACTGCTTTCTTGGTGGTATGAGGTCCCCGTCTCTCTGCTCACTTGTCTCTTTTATATCTCAAGAGACTGCCTCAGTACCCTATCCAATCTTGTAGACTGAGTTAACACAACTGCCACCCATTCTCCCTCATTAACATCATAGAGGCGGGATTTACAACACATAGGCAAATCACACAATACCACGAATCATGGCCCAGCCAAACTGATACACACTTTTTTGGGGGGACATAATTCAATCCATGACATTCCACCCTTTGGCCCCCCAAAAATCACATCCTTGCAACACGCAAAACATATTAACCCCATCATATCATAGCAAAAGTCTTAACTCCAAGTCCAAAATCCAAAAATTCCTCTTCATCTGTGAAATCTAGAATTCAAGTTATCTGCTCCCAAAGGTACAATGGCAGAACAGGAACAAGCTAGACATTGCCATTACAAATGGGAAAAACTGCAGCGAAAGGGATAACAGGCACCCAGCAAGTCAGAAGAACACATCACATTAGCCCTCAAGGCTTTGAAAATAATCTTCTGTCCTCTGAGACAATTTACACAATGGCCCTGCCCACCAGACTTTAGGTATTGGCCATACTTTCCAGATTCTGAGTGGAGGCCCCTCAGCCCTGGGCTTCAGCTCTGCCTTCCGGGCCCACTGGGACAGCAACTCTGCTCCCTTGGCTTTAGGCCCACCATTCTCCCAGTCCATCTGAGTGGTGACTTTACCCTTAGAAGCACCAGAGGCCATGGCTCCACCCTTTGAAACCCCTGAGGTCATGGCCATAACTTTTGAGACGGAGGTAGCTCGGCTTCTTGGGTCCCAGGTCTCTTCAGCTTGTTTCCTGGTTTCTTAGCCTCTTGGCTCCTCGGGCCTCATGCCTGCATCTGCCCTGCTGGGGCAAGTGTTCCAAAGATCTGAAGCTCCACCAGTGTCCAGAGGTACCCCACTCCGCCAGGAAGCCTCCTGCGCACAGGCACTTGGCTCCCTCAGTCCGTGGGTCAGCTCCAGCGCCGCCTGGCACTGGTCTCCTGGTTCTGCTGCTGCCGGTTCTCTGCTGTTGCCACTTCCCTACCGATGCAGGTCTTGTGCTGCTGCTGGTCCTTTGCTGCTGCTGCTCCTCTATCCATTAACAGTTTCAAAACCGGTCCCACATTTTAGGTATCTGTTAGAGCAGCATCCCACTCTCAGTACCAAATTCTGTCTTAGTCATCTAGTGCTGCTACCACAGAAATACCACAAATGGATGGCTTTAACAAAGAGAAATTTATTTCTTCACAGTAAAGTAGGCTAAAAGTCCAAATTTCAGGGCATCAGCTCCAGGGAAAGGCTTTCTCTCTCTGTTGGCCTTCTCATCAATGTTCCCCCGGACTAGGAGCTTCTCCGCACAGGGA